ATCAAACCTGGGTCAGCCACATGCAAGGCAAACACCCTATCTGCTGTGTTACTGCTCTGGCCCCAAGATTAAGCAATTTATTTAAGATCACACAGTCACCTATCCTGCTAGTACTATGTTTTCTGATTATTAGCCCTATGTGCTATTAAGATTCAATAGCCTACTATACATGCCTGATTCAGGTTTGATCCCAGGCACCCGGCATGGTATCCTGAGCCCCTCCAGGAGTGATCCCTGAGTGCAGAGCCAGGATTGAGCCCTGAATGAGACTACTGGGAGTGGCCCAAACAAAAACAATAATAAAATATTAAAATCAGGGGCTAGAGAGATAGCACAGTTGGTAGGGCACTTGCCTGATATGTGACCAACCTGGATCCCTGGAATCCCATATGGTCCCTTGGGCCCCACCGGGAGTGATTCCTGAGTACAGAGCCAGGAGTAAGCCCTGAGTGGCACAACAACAACAACAACATGTGTGAGTGAATGTCATTCTAAGTGACTAGGATACATTTGGAGCAGACAGGAAGAAGGATGTGAACTAAAGATGGCTCAGAAAAGCAATGCTAAATCCAGTAATGGTCTGGGCAAAACCCAGAGTAAATTATATTCAAGGGAGAAAAGCCAGCCCCCAACACCATGCCATCAGTCACAAGAGTATACGGGTATGTGCCAAAAGCAGCTTTGCCTATTAACCGAAGCAGAATAAGTGATTCCATGTGGTGAAGAACTTCTGAGCCAAATCAGCAGAGACTCTGCTTGCCTGAAGCTGAATTATGTGCCAAACTTCCCCAGAGTTCTGGCTGGACATGCAGACAGGGAATGAGAAACTGGAGAATTCTGAGGACTAAGAGGGAGGTAGCAGGTTGGATCGGAGATGCAGTGCAAAGTCTGAAGCCTGATGGATTGCTCTGTGTCAGCACAATCCCCTCCCTGAACTCTCTATAAGACAGTGGAAAGGTGTTATACAGGATACTCGGTTGAGAAGCCAAAGCAGGGAGAACTCTCTGGAACAGACTAAAAACAAACAAACAAACAAAAAAACCCCAACAACAATTGGAAGCCAGGCCATGGAGATAGTACAGTGGGTAGAGCAACTGCCTTGCAATGTCATTGATGAGGGTTCCATTACTGGCATCCTGTATTGCCCCCAGGCCCTGCCAGGAATGAGCCCTCAGCACAGCACCAGGACTATTCCCACCCCAGCAGCCAGGAATGATCCCTGAGCACATGGCCCAAACACAAAACAAAGAAAACAGAAAAGAAAACAAAAATTAACAATGAGTTTCTGAATCAAATGTGTGCATTCTCCGTAGTGTTATCCCAGGGCTGGAGTTTAAAATGATGGGACATTGATAGTAAATGTATCTCGGTACACATTCACATATGTGCACTATATGTTAATGTAAAAGTGAAAAAAAGTAAAGGCCCTCCCGTTGATCATCGATTTGCTCGAGCGGGCCCAGTAACGTCTCCATTGGAGACTTTGTTGTTACTGTGTCTGGCATATCGAATACTCTTGGTAGCTTGCCGGGCTCTCCGAGAGGGGTGGAGGAATCGAACGCGGGTCGGCCATGTTGGCTGCGTGCAAGGCAGACGCCCTACCCGCTGTGCTATCGAGCGATGTTAATGTATAAATAGTAAAATGTATCGCTGTACACATATTGAATATTTTCATAGGAGTCTTTGGGACCAGGAATCTTTGGGAATCTGATCCCATAGGAATCCATAGGATCCCATGGGAATACTTGGGACCAGGAACAATAAGGAGTTTAGAATGAGAGAGCTTATTCTGGGGATGTAGCTCAATGTAGAGCAACTTGCCCTTGCAAGGACATAAAAGGGAGAGAGATAGAGAGAGAGAGAGAGAGAGAGAGAGAGAGAAAGAGAGAGGGAGAGAGAGAGAGAGAGGGAGAGAGAGAGAGAGAGAGAGAGTACAAAGGACACCTGAGGCCAGGGAGATGGCTCAAAAGACTGGTGTTAGGCCCTGGAGCACTACTGCGTGGGGCTCAAAAATAAAAATAAAGAAAAGCAAGTATGACCAGAGAGGTAGTACAGGCATTAAGACCCTTGCATGGCAAGCAGCCAACCCTGGTTCAATCCCCAGCATTGTACAGTGCCCTCCCTCCAAACACTGTATTCCAAGCACTGATGGTTACGGCCCAGGCCCAAAATAAGTCCCCTGCCACCAAAACAAAAGACAAATTAATAGAACCAATAAATTTTAAACAATATTCATCCCTTAAAAGTATCTATTATATTATTATGCGTCAGGCACACCATCTCATTTAATTCACATATCATTTAATCCACATCATAATCCTGGAGGAAAAAGAGTTAAGTCACTTTACCAAAGAGAAAGAGAGAGGATTTAACCCAGACTTTCATAATTCCAAACTCTGTTGTACTCTTCTTCTTTGTTATTGTTGCTGTTTTCGAGCCACACGCAGTAATACTCAGGTGTTACTCCTGGCTCTGCATTCAGGAATTACTCCAGGGAGTGCTCAGGGAACTATATGGGATGCTGGGGATTGAACCCAGATCAGCCACGTGCAAGACAAGCACCCAATCCACTGTACTATCGCTCCCATGTTTATACTCCTTTCTCTCTCTCTCTCTCTCTCTCTCTCTCTCTCTCTCTCTCTCTCTTGCTCACTGTCTCTCACTCTCTCTCCCTTCCCTCCCCCTCTCTTTCAATAAAACTATTTTGCTTTACCAAAAATTATTATTTTTTTTTTTTTGCTTTTTGGATCACACCTGGCGATGCACAAGGGTTACTCCTGGCTCTGCACTCAGGAATTTCTCCTGGCAGTGCTCAGGGGACCATATGGGATGCTGGGAATCGAACCCAGGTTGGCCATGTGCAAGGCAAATGCCCTACCCGCTGTGCTATCTCTCCAGCGCCCCCCCCCCCCAATAAATATTTTTTAAAAAACTGGAAAGTTAAAAATACAATCACTTCCAAATTACACAGAACCTAGCAAGGCAGTCAGAAGTGATGTTTCAGAAATTCTGGGCTAGGGCAGGTGAGATAATATAGCCGGTAGGGCTCTTGTCTTGCATATGGCTGACCCAGTTTAGATTCCCTAATACTGCATAAGTTCCCCTGAGCCCCGCTAGGGGTGATTCCTGAGCACCAAGCTAGGAGTAAGCTCTGAGCACTGCTGTATAAGGCCACCAAACCAAAGAGATTCTGAACCTAACATCTGTATTCTACTTCTCTCAATCTGTGTTCTTTGTTATGCTAGAAATCTGAAGCTAAAATTTAAAAAAGTCTGCAATGGCTAAACAGAAACAACAAAGGAAGTCCTTACATGCCCCTTTTCAGAAACCCTAGAAATTAGGCATTTTTAAGACGAAGATTTCTAATGGAAATAGGGTTTCTGCTTGGCTTGTTTCCACAGAATTTAACATTGAAGGGAGCCAAGGTCTGGGATTTATCCTGTTCCTGGGCAAGGGCCAGGAAAACAGAGCCAGATATACAGAGGCTTGAGCTGTAAGGCTCCTTACTACAAAAGACACTAGAGGGGTGGGGGTGTTGAAGTCACAGGGAGCTGGGTGAGTTCAGTGGCATGTATCCATATTATTTTCTTTATTTAGGTTTGGGGGCCATACCAGGCAGTGCTTAAGGCTCACTCCTGGCTCTATGCTCAGGGATCATTCCTGGCAGACTTGGGGGACCAATGGGGGTGCTAGGGATCAACCCTGGGTCAGCGACAAGCAAGTCAAGAGCCTTCTTCACTGTACTATATTTCTCTTTTTATTTTTTTAGGGGTCACATCAGAAGAGGGGCTGTCACTCCCAGGCAATGCTCCCTGGTAAAAGGTAAAGGTAAAGGCCCTCCCGTTGATCATCGATTTGCTCGAGCAGGCCCAGTAACGTCTCCATTGGAGACTTTGTTGTTACTGTGTCTGGCATATCCAATACTCTCGGTAGCTTGCCGGGCTCTCCGGGAGGGGCGGAGGAAATGAACTCGGGTCGGCCATGTTGGCTCCGTGCAAGGCAAACGCCCTACCGCCCTACCGCTGTGCTATAGCTCCAGCCCCCAACATGGCCAACCCGAGTTCGATTCCTCCACTGTGGCTACACTCTGCACTATTCAGGGGCCTGCAGTGCTGAGAACAGAGCATAAGTCCTTACCCATGACAGCCCTTGCTCTCCCTGAATCATACTTAAAGACACAACTGTTGTAAGCGACTCATGAAGACACTACTGAGCCACTCAGCAAACCTGAAGTTGCCTTGGAAATTTCAGAGTAATGGATGTTATTTAACAAAAGAATTGAAAAGTCAAGGTTAAGATGGTGGGGTGTGTGGGAGCTGCTGAGTTCACGGAAGGAAAATTGAGCAGGGTTGTAGGAGAAATGGCTTGGATATACAATCAAGGAGGGAGAGGAGCCCACACAATGGGACTGTCCTCAAGTGCAGAGAAACGTGAAGGCACTCAACTACAAGAGGAAATCCATTTTTGAAGGAAAGAAGGTTGGGGGGGGAGGGGGAACGGTTGCATGTGTCTAAAGGGGTCTCTAGAGAAGAGGCAGTAATAAAGAGGAGGGGGTGGGAGGCCTACTCTAATGAGTGAGCGTCTGAGTATGAACACGTGCACATGAGTATGCGCGCATGAATGTGCACTTGAGATGGTGTGTGTGTGTATGGGCATGAGTGTGTGTATAAATATGTGCATGTGAGAGCATGAATGTGTGCATGTCTGTATATATTAAAGTGTGTATGCATGAATGTGTACATGAGTGTGTGAGTGCGTGAATGTATGTGTATGTGCATGAATGCGTGCGTATGAGAATGATGGTGTGTGTGTGTGTGTGTGTGTGTGTGTGTGTCTGTATCTGTGCTCGCGCGTGTGCGCGCGCGCGCCTAGCCTACAAGGAAACTCCCAGAAAGGAAATGCATGGGAGGGCCGTTCGCCAGAACAGCGAGGCGGAGGAGGCTGGGAGCGAGGCTCCGTCGCCGAGGGTGTCCCGCAGGAGGCCGCACCCGCAGACTCACCTCGGCCGTAGCCCTGCGTGTGCTTGGCGAAGCTCCTCACTACGGCCTCCACTGCCTCCCGCAGCACCGCGGGGCTGCCCGCGGCGCCCGGCGGCAGCGGCAGCCCGGGGGCCCCCGACAGGAGCAGGGGCGCCGGGGGAGGTGCGGGAGGCGGCGGGGCCGGCGGGTGGCCCGCCGGGGGTGTGGCGGCGGGAGCCGCGGCCCCCGTCACTCCGGGCCGCAACGCTCGCAGAGTGGCCCTCCCGCCGGTGCCCACTCCTGGCTGCAGCCGCTGCGCTCGCATCGTCTCCATCCCGGCCGCCGGCAGAGAGGCGGCCCGCAGCCTGCCAGCCTGGCGAGCTAACGGTCTCAGCCACCCAGCCCGCTAGCGCCCGGGGACTGAAGGCGGTGCCCCAGCGCGCAGTCAGTCATTAGGGGGCGGGGACGAGCCGGCCACCTGCCAATCATCGGGGAGGAGGCGGGACCCGCGGGCTCCTGCGAGGCTATAGGCGAGTGCCTAAGAAGGGTGGGATCCAGAGCTACCAATGGCAGCAAGAAAAAGCGACACCTTTTAGCAGGGAACAGATCAGCTTGGGCGGGCCTTTGGGAATCCCTTGGCGAGCACTAGAATTCTGGACGTGAGTGGGATTGGAGGCCGAGGGGAAGGTTGAGAGAACTGGAGAGAGAGCGAGGGGATTTGTAAAGATCATTTGTCCTACCACTTGATTTTAAGCATATAGAAGAGGAAATTGGCTCAGAGAAAACGACGAAACTTATACGAACTAACAAGCAATTGGTAGCGGAGGTAAAACAAGGAAAGATACTGACTTGTAATGATCATATACTTAGATTAGACGCTATGCAATGTACTTTAGTGCGTTGTCTGTATAATCACAATCACTAACTAGATTTTATTATTTTTAAAAAAATGTTTGCTCTTGGGGACTCCAGCGATAGTACAGCTGGTAGGACGCTTACCTTGCACAAGGACCTACAGGAGTTCGACCCCCAACATCCCATATGGTCCTCTGAGCCCGCCAGGAATAACTCCTGAGTGCAGAGTCAGGAGTAACCCCTGAGTACTGCCGCTGTGGCCCAAAAGGGTAGAAAAAAAGTTATAAAAGTTTGCTGGAAGTTCAATCTCTAGTACCACATATCCCCCCTGAAGCACCGGATGTAGTCCAGGAGGTCCCCAAGCACCTCTAGAGTAGCCCCTAACACTGAGGGCCTGAGCACCAAATGGTCAGAGCCCCCCTGCCAGGCAGAGTATGGCTGGGAGTGGTCCCGTTCTGAGTACTTTCGTGATCTTCTCTAAAATATGCTTTTCATTATAGGCAACTCAATAATTTTCTATTTTTAAGGGGCCACATCAGATCACTCCATAGCACTCGGTGCTTAGGGTCACATGGTAGCAGGGCTGTGGGTGGAACTTAAAACTCAGAGGACACAAGGCATGACTTGTCATCTATCACTTGTTCTACATTCTTAGCCCTTGGTTTCATAGTTTTACATGCAAGAACATCCATAGAGGATAGATTTATTGACAGGAATTAGATAGGGGACAGCAAATTGGCCAGAATTAATAGGGGGAGTATTCTGATCCTCAAAAGTTTGGTCTTTCATTATATCACATTATTGGGTACTTTTCTGATTTTACCTGTTCTGATTTGAGATGGAGAATAAGAAAGAGTAGAATGGACTGTTTTCTTTACCTCCCATCAAGTACATCCTTTGTCAGCTGACCATCATGCAGTTTACCTAGGTAAAGTTATCTCTATCTCCTCCCTACAGTGGCTCAAAAGACAATACTGAGAAACAGAACCCAGAAATAGAAAAAAAATGAGTGAAGTTCTGAAATTCATCTCAGGAGATTTAAACTAGACCCCAAGGAAAGCTATGAGTGGCCTAGAAATAGAAAGTTTGAAAGAGGAACAATTAATTTACCAGGATCTCCTGATGGCCAAGGGAAAAGTTCTTCGTAGGAATATCCAAGAACATGAGGATGGACTTAAGGGAGACTCAAGAAAATGAAAACCTGTCAAATGCCTTTACATCTCCGGGACTCCAGTTTGTTCTTGACTTTTACAACCACAGTTGGTCAGATGGTCTCCCAGAAGGACTGTGGTTGGTACCCTCCCATTGTAGCCATAGTTAACCTCACTCTCCCTCCCCATTCCTCACACCCCACTGCCCACAACCCCAGGCAGGACTGAAAAACCAGAGAGTTCTGAACACATTTATTTGTTAATGTCAAGTGGAGAGAGTAGTGATGTCGGGTTGATCCCCACTGCCCCCTATGGGAATGTTCCTAAGCTCAGACAGACAACAGAAGAGCAGCTTTACAGCCCATGACCCCACCCATGGGAAAAGGACTCGACCTGCTGTATGGGTTGGGAAACTGGAGGAGAGGGGATAAAAAGTGGGAAGTTGAGAGGTAAAGCTGAGAGCAGGAAGGGACAACAGCAGAACTGAGGCTGGGGGTTGCTACAGAAACCCTCTGGCTCCCCAGGAAGAGTGAAGAAGATAATCCTGAAAAGTGGTTGGGGTTGGAAGCAGGGACTGAACAGGAAACCAGGTTGACCTGGAGAGAAGCAAGACCTGCAGAATGGGGTGGGACCATTACGAAGAGGGAAGAGTGTGCAAAATCATGAGCGGCCTGTGTTTGCAGGCTGTACATGAACAGCAAGGGGTCGCTTCTGCAGGAAGGCAAAGACTGGGGGACCACCAGTGAGGAGGAGGTCCCAGTGCTTCTGAACAAATGCAAGTGAAGTTTGGGACCCACGGGGGTCCTAGCACAAGTGACCCTGTGAGTGCCTGGCCTCCGGGTCCACCAGTAATTCCCATATGGACGTGGAGTGACCAGGGCATGGAAGCATGTGTCTGGACACCCGGAAATTCCAGTACTTACCCTCTCCTGCGAATAAGCGCGCGGTGCTTGTGGACACATGCCTACCCTCGTGCATGCGCGCACCGAGCCCACGAGTACATGGAGAGCCCCCGGCGGTCGCGCTGCGTGTGTGTGTGAGCTGGTTCTCCCTTCGGCTCCCCTCCCTCCTCCGCTCCTCTCGCCCCCCTCCTCAGCGCCCGGGCTCGCCGGACCCACCCAGACTCTGGAAGCCCCCGAGCAGGCGGATCTGCTCAGTCTGCATGGAGTGGCGCCTCACCAGCTTGCGCTTGGTCCTGGGCGAGGTCGGCGCCCCCGCCTGCGGAGGGGCGGGCAGCGACGGCGCCCGGCCTCCGGCTTGAGGGCGAATGTCGGGGATGGGGGGGTGGGGGCTGACGTTGAGCGGGGGCAGGAAGCCAGGCCGCGTCTGCGAGATGTGGTCCAGCAGCAGCGTGCCGGAGCCCCTCCGCTCCAGCAGCCCGGGACTTCGCCGGCGCCCGCTCAGCGGGGACACGGCCCCGGGCAGGCTCTCCTGGGACTGGCGCGGGGACTGGAGCGAGCCGGCGAGCGGGAGCGTCAGCGGGGAGGCGCTGTAGCGCCGGCGCTCCAGGGCAGGGCGGCTGCACTCGGGCGAGTCCGGGCAGAGGCTGCCGGGGCCCTCGAGCTCCACCGGCTCCATGCGGCTCAGTTTCTGCCGCAGCCCGGCGGGGGGCCCTGGCTCCTGCGCCTCGGGCGCGGTGTTCCGCCGCGACAGCAGCCCCGCGCCCGACACTCTCTCCGCCCACGGAGGCGGGTCCCCGGCGCCCTCCGTGCTGTGACGGCGGGACAGGCGCGGCCGGCCGGACAGGGTCAGGCCGTGGAACTCGGCGGTCAGGCGCTCGGTCCCCGGACGCCCTTCGGTCGGCGGGACAGGTTGCGGAGGGGCCACCAGGCCCCAGGGCTCCGAGTTGAGCCTTTTGAGCGGCTTCGGAGGATGGCGGGGCGGCTTGGGGAGGGGCTCCGCGGGGGAGGAGTCATCGGGGGGCTTGGGCAGGGGGAACTCGAATACGTCCCGCTTCTCCTCCTCTTCCTGCGCGCGGGGCGACAGCACGGTGCGGCCTCCGCCCCCTCCCGCAGTCTGCAGCTGGATCTCCGAGGGCGACGTGCACACGCCCGGGCTGGGCGGCGCGGGAGCCGGTTCCTCCACCCCCGGCGACGGCGGCGAGTTGAGATACTGCCGGGTCTTCTTGGTACCCGAAGGCGAGGTGTCGGTGGTGATGATGATGACCTCCGTGCCCTTGGCCTTGCAGGCATCTAGCAGCGTGGCGAGGGTCTCGCGGTCCCCGCGGTCCAGGGCGTGCACGAGCGCCGAAGCGCCCGCGTGGTCTCGGACCGAGGGGTCGGCGCCGTGGGCGAGGAGCAGCGAGGCCACCGCGGCGCCCCCGCCGCCGGCGCAGGCGTGCATCAGCGCCGTGCGCCCCAGGCGGTCGGCTATGTTAGGGTCCGCGCCCTGCTCCAAGAGGTAGCGTACCATGCGCGCCTTGTTCTGGGGGTCGTCGTAGCGGGCGCGACAGGCTGCCATGAGCGCCGTCTCCCCTTGGGCATCGCCTTCGTTCACGTAGGCGCCCCCCTCCAGAAGCAAACGGGCCAAACGGAGCTTACCCTGACCCACGGCTCGGAGAAGAGCGTGGCCCTCGGTGTGCAGCATTGCTGCGGCTGGGGCGAGGGCGCCGGCCGAACCGGGCTCAGGACCTGCTGCCGAGGCCAGCGAGGGGCGTGAGGGTGGCGACTGGCAGAGGCCTGGGGGCTCAGCGGTGAAGCCAGTCCCTGCGGGAAAACAGAGAAATCTTAACTACACACGCAAGCAGGGAAACGCAGCCCTGGTGGCAGCCCCCTGGCGTGGGGTGGGGGTCTCTCCTGCACCGCGCACAGCCCCTCCTCTAAGTCATGCCTTTGGGCCGCCCCTCTCCCCCAGCGCATGCCTGGGGAGGTGGAAGGTGCACCCGCATCGAGAACGCGCGCGCGTGCAAAGGCGGCCGTGCACGCGCAGGGATACCCGCACCCCACCCTCACCCCCACGGCTTCTCAGACCTTTCCAGCACCCCCTATAAACCCCCCGTACTTGGAATCCCCCTTGCTAGGATGCCGAATGCCACCCACCCACACACATGCACCCATACATTCACACACATTCCATTCCTAACCTCTTTTAGGTCGCCACCGCCCCAGAAATTGAATGGGGGGAGGGAAGCAGCTTGCGTTTGGGACCTAAAACGGGTGGGGGTAGAATTGGGGGTTTCTTTGGCCCCGCTCTGTTCCCCTATCACTGGCTTTTGCCCCACCCAGGCTGTGCGCCCGAATAGATACCTGAATGTCCGCAGAAGCTCCGCTGCCGGGCCAGGGCCGGGGCCAGGGCGGCACTTCAGCCGGGGTGGCGGATCCGGGTTTCCGGGGGCCCACATGGCGGGGGGGGTGGGGTGGGCACCCGGATTCCCCTAGTGTCAGTCTCTGCACCCAGGCATCGGGTCCTGGTCCCTCCTCCCGGTGCGCCCCGGGCACAGCGCCGGCTCTCGCGGAGAGAAACTGGGGGGGGGGGGGGGGGCGGAGCTCTGTCCTGCTATTTATAGCCCAGTCTCGGCGGGTGGGGGCGGCAGGCAGCAAAGCGGCACCCACCCCAGCACACACACAAGCCCTCGCAGCCTAGGGCTCCAGTCCTAGCTTCCCTTGCCCAGAGACTCTCCTCAGCCCCAACAGACACAAGTGTCACTGGGGAGACACCTCTGAGACCCAGATTGGGACCACCCCAACCTCTCCTAGAGCTTCAGCAGGTCCCCTTTCTCGCGCGTGGGTGGGGTGGGGGTGCATGTCTGTGCGCAAGATCTGACCTGCCACACACTGCACACTTATCACATGTGACACACGACACAAACTGGCACAAACTGCACACTGCCACACAGGACACACTGCCACACATGCAAGTTCTGCTACACTCGGCACACATATGCCACACACTGTATCCTCTGCCACACACAGCACACACTGCCACGCAAACCATACCAGCACAAATGTCATACACTATACCACTGCCACATATGCCACACAACATATGCCACATATGCTACACACCAATTCACACATGCCACATTCTGCCACATAAGAAATGAATTGCTGTATATGGCATGTCACATACAACACAACCAGTCACACTGCACACACAGCCACACTGCACACACATGTACCTTAAGGGAGGTGGAGAGAGGTCATAGGTCCATAGGACGTTCTGTGAGGAGAGCAAGCCCTCTGACTGCCCTCTGGGGGTTAAGTGTGTGGAATAACTGAGGTTTGACCCAGTGGCTTATTCCTCATACCACCTCCCAACCAGAGCACAGACATCTGGACCTCAGTTACCTCATACAGATGTCTGAGATGTGAATGAGGTGACTGTCGGTGGCCTCGTCGTTTTTGCACATTCATTTTGGGGGATTTCTAGATGCCTCCTCCCCACATACTTGGGGGGAAGAGAGAGGAAAAGGACAGAGAGAAAAGTGAACCTTATAGCACACTGTCTCCCATTTTCCCACCTTGCTTGAAAGTGGATGTCCAGATCACTTCCTGCCTCTCCTTTCTCTCTCTATCGAAGTTGGTCTCTGTGTGTTGCTGCCTCACCCGCCAACTGCCCTGTCTCCATGGTTACCATAGCTTTCATCTGCATATTTTAGGAATCAGTTTGTGTCCAGCTGGGAGGCATCAGAGGGGAATGAAGTGTGAGGGAAAAATAAATCCTAAGGATTACTTAAAATTTTGAGATCATGTTGAGACTGACTGCCACCAGACCAAAGATATTAAAACAATGTTCCTGGGGCTAGAGACATAGTACAGTGGGTAAGGTGCTTGGCTTACATGCAGCTGACCCAGTTTGATCCCCAGCACCAAATGGGGTCTCCCAAGCCTTACCAGGAGTGATCCCTGAGCATAGCTGGGTATGGCCCCCAAACATAACCATGATGATAATGTCCCCTGAGAACAGAGAGGGATATTGGGTGGGAAATGATCCATTTTCTCTTAGCTACCACTTACTGGACACCAACTGTAAGTCAAGTCCTTTACGGATATGATATCAAATTTGCACAATGCCACAGGCAGACATTATCTTCTTGTTGCAGGTGAGAAAATGGAGACTGACCAAGTTTCTCCAAAGCCTTACAACTGCATTGCTGCCCTATTCCAATGACCTGTACTTTCCACAACACCCACAACCCTCTAAGGTCAGTATCTAGGATATTCTTATGGGCTAGCTCCTAGATCTCCAGACTCAGTTCATCACTTCAGTTCTATTTCTAAGGAAATAGGATTTCTCCTCCCTTTACCCAAGGTGAGGAGGAGCTGGAAGGCCAGAGGGAAAATCAGGAACACAGGACACCCCTGCCTCGGTCCCAGCCCTGGTTCTTGACCCCTGACCCTTCTTTCTCAACATACGCGTGGCAGCATCATACGGAAGGGGTAAGGTTGTAAAAACAGTATTAGCTGGTGGTTCTGGAGGGAAGGGGTGGAGGACTGGAGAAAAGTTGGATTTGTAAAAGAGAGGCCTCTGTGAATCAGCCAGAGCCCCCAAAGGCTGATCCTTCAGAAGATGATCTGGGGGGTTCGTTTCTCTATCGGCGCCCTCCGGTAGAGTGGATCGATGAGGTCGGAACTTCCCAGACGCGGTGGGAAACCACCGTTCTGCGTATTGTCCTGCTGCCCCAGTCAGCAAGTCAGCCCGGGTCCCGACTCCCTGGAGCACGCCCTGCTCCTCCACCCCGCCCTCAAGGGGGCGGGACCCGCTACGCTTCTCCTAGATTGGCTGAGAGAACCCACCAATAGGGAACTCGGGGAGGCGGGCGGAGAACGCAGCGGCTGGAGGAAGACGAGCTGGATTCAGGTTGGCTTCTGCGAGGGCTCCGCGTGGGGGAGGGGAGCAGGTAAGGCTCCGGCCAGGTGCCTCGTACCTGGTTCAGCCTCCACTGTCCCAGCTAGTTCGCCAGGCCCTGATTGCTGCGATTCAAACAGGACACTCTGAGCTGCCTGTTGGATCAGCCCCTTTCTCCTTCCCTACCCTTCCTTCTCCCGGGCCCCCTTGGCTGTAATGACCAGAGCACCCTGGTTTTCTTTGGCGCCTAGGGGCGAGATATAAAAGCAGAAAGCAAGAAAAACTCACTCTAGTTCTTCTGGCTTTACAGTGGCACCCACTTCTCCTAGATCCTTTGATATTATTTCCTTGGATATGCAAACTCCCTCTCGCTAATACCTTCTACCGTAGCTCTCCTGGCCCACCTTTCATGCAGAATTAGCTTTTCTTACAAGGCATTGTATAATAGATTCTAGCACATAATACAAGATATCCAGTAAAAGTTAATTAAATTGACTGGGAAGGCAAAGCATAGCCTGTATCATAATTAGGAAATAATAAAATACAATAGTCTGTAATTAAGCTCTCTTAACAGGGTGGCTCATCATCCTAAGTCTAGAAAAAAGGAAACTACAACTAGACTGTGAGGAATCACAAGGACTCAAGTTTGGAAATGTTCTTAGCAATCATGTATTCATTCAACATATATTATTTGTGGAGCACCAGCTATAGGCCAGATTCAGTGCTAGAAAATGCAGGTATGAGTGAGCTCACTGCTCTAAGACACAGCTTCTTCCTCTGATAAATCAGATTTTGTATGTTGTTGTTCTGCTTTTTTTTAAACATCTTTAGTATGAGAACTTTATTTTACTTCTCAGATCATCCTAGTTTGTCACAGTAGGTCATCAATAAATGTCCAGCAAATACTCTAACCAAGAAGTACATGATTCACCAAAAGAATCCCATACTTCCATTGTAAGAGCAGGAGATTGGCCTTAATAGTAGCATTCTCTTTTTTGGGGGGGAGGGGGTGAAGGATGGGGCCTGGAGTCACACCCGGAAGTCACTCCTAGCTCTTTGTTCAGGAGTGACCCGCAGCAGCATTTGTCTTGCCTGAGGTTTGAACCAAGATCAGCTGCATGTAAGGCACGTATCCTACCTCCTGTACTATCTCTCTGGTCTCAGTAGAATTATTATCATTAAAGAAAACATCCCTTTTATTTATTTTATCCAAGCTTTTGGGCCATTCCTGGTGATGCTCAGAACTTAACTCCTAGGCCACAATGCAAGGAAAGAGCCTAACCCCTATAGTGTCTCTTGGCCTGCAACAACTATAGTTTTAATATGTATCTTTTCTTACTTTCTGTGTGTATACATATGTATATATTTCTACTTGATACATACATATTATGAAATAGAACCATATGATACACTTTAACACAATTTTCCCCTTTTTACATTATATTGTGTACATTTTTCTGCCTTTAGATATCATTTGAATTCACTTTTGTGGCTACTTTGTAGTTTAAAGTGAATGGCTGATTTTGTTGGTGGTGGCAGTGGATCATGTAAATTGTGTGAGGATTTTCCTACTATTTTATCACTGACCCTGATGATTTCTTTAGGATAGTTTTTTTTTTTCAGGTGGGTCAGGAGCCACAGTAGTGGTGCTCAGAGCTTACTCCTGGATCTACACTCAAGGATCACTCATGGTGGGGCTAGGGACCCCTTTGTCATGCTGGAGACTGGGTGCAGGTTGCCTCATGCAAGGCAAGCACCCTTCCTACTATACTAGCTCTTTGTCCCGATTCCTCCCTTCTAGCTTTGTGTCAGACTATAGCTAGTATGCCATAATTATTTACTGAATGGATACATTATTTTTAAGGAATTCTCAAAATGCTCCTCACATTCAAGTTGTAGCTATTCTCTGGACTTGTGAGAGCTAGTGTTCTTTATATGATGAACCACTCTATTAGGAGACCATAATTATGCGCTGCATTTTATTTCACTGTTACTTAACTAGCATGTTCTTGTTGTGTGCTCTTAATATGATGTGAGGAAAATGGCTCTCTGTGATCCTCCTGCCCCACCTGTGACCCCCCAATATAATCAAGAGAAAAGTATTAGATTCTAACAAATGAGTTTTCCAGGACATCCGTGCAAATATTCTTCAAAATGGTTACAGTCATTAAGCCCCAGAAAGGTGGGATGGAGAAATAATATAGTGGTTAGGGTGTTTCCCTTGCATGCAGCCAACCCTGGTTCCATGCCAGGCACCCCATAAGATCCCCTGAACACATCCCTGTTCCTCCTCCCCCCAAAAAACCCACAAAAAAATCAGGAACATCTGAAAATTTTGAACTAATACTCATTTTTAAATAGATCTTATTTATTTTTAAAATGTATTTCTGGGGGAGCCCGGCAAGCTACCGAGAGTATTGGATATGCCAGACACAGTAACAACAAAGTCTCCAATGGAGACGTTACTGGGCCCGCTCGAGCAAATCGACGATCAACGGGAGGGCCTTTACCTTTTTATTTCTGGTACTAGAGCTCGGACTCAGGGCATCTTACATGTGGAATGTGTACTCTCCACTGAACTTCATCCATCCTTGGCCCTTATAGATTTATTTAGCAGTGCTGGTATCAAACCCGCATGTATGCAAGACCTGCCATTCATCTCGGAAGCACACACCTAATCCCTAGATGTGATATATTTTATGTATTTATTTTTGTAACTCAGAGGATCAAGCTCAATAACTCAGACCTGGTAAATGGCTCAGAGAGCTGGAGCACATGTTTTGCTTTTAAGAGCTCTGGGTTTGATTCCTGGCATTGCGTGGTATTCTGAGCAATGAGCTGCAAGTAGCTTCAGAGTACCAAAGTCTGGATCTCACACATGCAAGACCAGTACTTTATCACTGAGCTCAGGGCAGACTCCTGGCTCTTCGCTCAGGGATCATCCCTGGCAGGCTCAGAGGACAATATATGGTGCCAGTGATCAAACTCAGGTCAGCAATGTGCAAGGTAATGTACAATATAAAACCTGCCTGCTGTACTATCACTGATGACTACATCTTATTTTTTCGTATAACAGTTTAGAATTTAGGACCCCGCGGTAGGTTACTATCACCAGGCCACCCCAGGGGGGAAAGGGTGCTGTCCCTCGGCCTGCCCCCCCTTGGCGGCTCGGTGGCCACCATCTGCCACAGGCCATTGGACAGTCAGGGTTGGGCCCACAGTGATGAGACAGGAGGCTGGGGAGGTGGGGGGAGGGGGAGTGTCTCACGGGATGAGGGTGGAGCCGGTCCTTTCCTCCCCATCCCAAGGAGACCCAAGTTGCCGCCCATGAACAGCCTCTCTGGCTCCTGATCAAGCCATTTAATGGCCATGATACCAGAGACTCAGAAACAAATCTCAAAACCCAGTGGCTTTGGGCAGAAATGTGTTCGGTCCCTGCAGTAGGTCACTGGCGCTGGGCCAATCCAGGTGGGAATAGGTTTCGTGCCTTGGCCTGTTCCCCCCTGGTGGCCCGGTGGCTGCCAACCTCCAGAGGCCACTGAACAGTCAGGTTTGGGCCTGCAGTGACGAGACACACAGGGCCTCACAGGATGGGGGTGGAGCCAGCCTTTTCCTCCCCACCCCAATGAGACCCCAAGTTGCCACTCATGAACAAACGGCCTCTCTGGTTCCTGATCAAGCTGCTTAATGGCCATGATCCCAGAGACTCAGAAACAAATCTTGGAACCCAGTGGCTTTTTGCAGAATTGTGTCCAGACCCGCAGTAGGTTATTGTTGCTGGGCCACTCCAGGGGTGAAAAGGTGCTGGTCCTCCACCTGCTCACCCTAGGTGGCTCAGTGGCTGCCATCCTCCAGAGACCATTGGACAGTTAGGGTTGGGCCCTCAGCGATGAGACACACAGGGCCTCACAGGATGTGGTTGGAGCTGGCCCTTTCCTCCCTGTCCCAATGAGACCCCGAGTCGCCACCCATGAACGGCCTTTCTGGCTCCTGATCAAGCTGCTCAACGGCCATGATCCCAGAGACTCAGGAACACATCTCAGAAACCAGCAGGTTTGGGCAGAAATCCCTCCAGATTTAAGTGTTAAAATTTCGGAATTTCAAAATCATGCAACCACTACTGCAGCCATCCGACATCATATGTTATTCATAACCAGCAATAGAAAACAAATTGTCTACTGTTGCCTTTTCAGCAGATCTGAGTGTTGGGGTAAAATCCCAAATAATAATGGTGGGTCTGGTGTCAAAATATTGAATGTGATCAAAGTAGAGAGAGAGTAATGTGGAAATCATCTGCCCCGCAGGTAGGGGCAGGGTGTGGGATGGGGGTATACTGGGGTTTTTGGTGGTGGAGAATGGGCACTGGTGAAGGTATGGATGCTTCATAGTATAACCGAGACTTAAACCCGAAAGCTTTGTAACTGCTTTCATGGTGATTCAATAAATAAAATTATAAAAAATGAAAAAAAAAAGTAAGGTAGAGTTCATGCCCAATTCAATCAGCTAAACAGTGGCTGAATAAACAGCAGTACTCCTACATTTAAAAAAAAAAAGTTTAAGGGCTGGAGAGATAGCACAACGGGTAGGGCGTTTGCCTTGCATGCGACTGACCCGGGTTCGATTCCCAGCATCCCACATGGTCCCCTGAGCATCACCAGGAGTAACTCCTGAGTGCAGAGCCAGGAGTAACCCCTGTGCATCGCCAGGTGTGACCCAAAAGCAAAAAAAAAAAAAAGTTTAGAATTTAAAGTTGAACTTTTATGTAAATTAAGTAAAGTGAAATAAGTGAAGAGGAAGACAAGTACCATATTCACACATAAATGGAATATTAAGAAACAAAGCAAACAAAACCAAAACGAACCCTTTGATTCTGACAATAGGATGGCAAGTCCAACAGAGAGGCTATATGCAGTGTGGCATATATATATCTGAGTAGATGTGAATTCTCCTGAAACTTACAGTGCTGTAAACCAATGATAGAAAAAAAGGAAAAACTAAGCAGGAAGTTTTTGTCCTGGAACACAATTTCCTCTATAATAATTGTGATGTATTAGAATAGCACCTTGTTATAACAAATGAACCAATAATGATACATTATAATTGTACTGTAGCGCTGTCCTCCCGTTGTTCATCGATTTGCTTGATGGGGCACCAGTAACGCCTCACAACAAATTGTGAGACTTGTGACACTTGTTGTTACTGTTTTTGGCATATTGAATACGGGGAGCTTGCCAGGCTTTGCCGTGCAGACATTATAATAATTATAATGTAAATATTTTTATATTACATTATATATATTTTTTTTATTGCTTTTTGGGTCATAGCCAGAGATGCTCAGGGGTTACTCCTGGCTCTGAGCTCAGGAATTTTCCCTGGCGTGCTTGTAGGACCATATGGGATGCCGGGGATTGAACCCGGGTCTGCCACACGCAAGGCAAACGCCCTACCTGCTGTACTATCACTCCGGCCCAGTACATTATACTTATTTTAATATCTATGTTTGATTCAGATTTCCTGAGCCTTGTCTAATATTCTCTTTCTGGTTCTAGGTTGCCATGCCACATTATCTGCTATGGCATTGTTATGTGTGCATATTCATGTGTGTACGTGCATGTGTATATTTATATACATATGCACATATAGGTACATACACAAAAATGAAATCGAAATTATATGTGTATTAAAATTTAATAATGCTTTTCACTATATGGTCATGGTGAAATAATAGGTTTTTTCTTCCTTTCCTTCCTTTTATTGCTTCAATGATCAGAGGTACTGGTTGTGGTTTGCGGTGTTCCCTGGTATCATGCTTCTGGCCCTGGTTCTCAAGTTCACCTGATTATGTGCTCTGGAGGTGGCACATTTGTCACCTGTATACTCTGGATGTGTCACATAGGACCCCAGACAGCTCCCTGGGTACTGAATGCATGCAAGGCAAGCACTTTTAACCACTGAATCATCATTCCCCTAGGGCACTGGATATTTGAAAAATATCTGTATGAGGAACCAGAGAGATAGTACAGCAGGTAAGGCAGTTGTCTTGCATGCAGCCAACCAGGGTTCTATCTCCAGCATCCATATGGTCCCCTAAGAACCTCCAGGAGTGAGTGATTCTTGAGCTCAGAACCAGGAGTATCCCCTGAGCATTCCCAGGTATGGCCCAAAACCAAAACGGTTTTAAGAAAAAAATCTATGATTCCAGGTTTTCTAGGATAAATATATATTGCTTCTATGATCCAAACAAAGGAGTATTTTAATTTTGGCTCATGGTGCTTTATCAGCTACACCCTTCCAGTGAGGCTGTGGGCTTGTTCCTAAAAATGCTGGTCAGGATGTTACAGTCCCCGTTGGGGTGTGTCTGGCACTTCCATCCCAGCCAGACTGAGGTGATGAAAAAGTGCCATTTTCCTCATATCTGCATTCGGGGCTTGCTCTCACAGCAGAATTCAGTACTGTTGCCCTGGCCCTGCCACTTGAGTGAAGCATTGTTTGTCTAATTTCTCCACTGTACAGCCGCCCTGGCTCTCCAGAATGGTATCGAGCAAAACTGCATACAGCCCAGTGAGCTGTCCCCAAGAGGAAAGATGGTGCGGCTTGTACCTCCCTGGTTTGCTGTTCATGTTGTCCGTTTCTCTGAGCTTCCCTTTGTTTCTGGTCTTTAGCAGGTTTTTCTCATTGGAGCTCTGAATGCCCAGGCCCCCTCTGCCATGGCCAGCCGGGGTGGGGGCCGGGGTCGCGGCCGTGGCCAGCTGACCTTCAACATGGAGGCTGTGGGCATCAGCAAGGGGGATGCGCTGCCCCCACCCACGCTGCAGCCTTCTCCACTCTTCCCTGTGAGTGTCTTGCCCCCTCCCACCCCAGGACCTCCTCAAACTGTGCTTAGCTTGCCACATGCGGTCTCTGTGCCCAGCTCCCAGTGGGCAGGCCTCTCCCGCTTCTCACTCCCCAGCTGTGAAAATGCCATGTTGCTCCACCCGCACTCCTTTAGCCCTCTGCAATGGCAGGAGTGTTGAATTCCCATGGCAGGGGGTGGGGGGGTCAGGGAGTTCTCCTTGGCTTGTCCACCAGCACCTTCTTTCTGAGCTGACCCCTGTCCCTGCTTCCTCAGCCCTTGGAGTTCCACCCTGTGCCCCTGCCCTCGGGGGAGGAAGGGGAGTACGTGTTGGCACTGAAGCAGGAGCTCCGAGGGGCCATGAGGCAGCTTCCCTACTTCATCCGGCCAGCGGTCCCCAAGAGAGGTCAGTTTGGATGTTCCCTGTGTTCTGCAGCACCCCAGGGTGCAACCAGCAGGAGTCAGAGAGACTCCAGTGTAACCGAGGATCTGCCACATATCATAGTGGTTGTGTCTAGGTGTTATTCTGGTCTCACCGTGGTCTTGGGACAGTGGATTATGGGTTAATCATTTTACAGGTTTGGGGTCAAGGGGAGGTGTGTGAAAAATGTTAAGTCAGTGTTTGCTCAGTTTTTCTGAGTAAAGTACTGCCCCCCCCCTCTTTGGTTGGGGGATCCTGGAGGCAATCAGGAGGTATGGGAGAAGAGCGTCCTTGGGAGAATGGATGTTCATCAGAACTTCAGTGATACTCAGGCTTTCCTGCTGACACCCACAGAGGTGTCACGCTTGCCCAGGATGCCCCATGAAAAGGAAAGAAATGCAACCCTCTAGAAGGAACTAGAGGGCCAGAGATAGTGCATGGGGACCATGCTTGCCTTGAATGTGGCCCATGGTGGTTCAATCCCCAGCACCACAGAGAGTTCCCTGAACATCTCCAAAAGTGATTCCTGAGCACTGAGTCAGGAGTAAGCCCTGAGCACTGTTGTTTTGGTTTAGGGTGTGACACCAAAACCAAAAACGAAAAAGAGAACTGAATCACTTGGCCTGGGTGGTTACTTGGGAGAACAACCCCACATCCCCACAAAAGGAAGGAAATGGAACCCATGACTTTGCACCTGCAAGGAATACCACTTCGACTAGGTCCCCAGCACCAAATGCTCCCCCAAACCATCCTAGCTTGATTTGACCCAGGAACATCACTGTGTAGCTGTCCTTAACACACACACACACACACACACACACACACACACACACACACACACGGAGGGTCAAGGACTTAGCTCAGTAGTAAAACAGTCGGCACCAGGTCCAATCCCCAGAACTGCAGAAAAAGAAAAAGGAACCTCTTTGTGGGAGAGAACTCTCAGAAGTGACTGGAACACATGTCTGACATGCACCGGGGCCTATGTTTGATCCCTGGTACTCCATGACCTGCAAGAAAACAAAAACAAAAGTAAACTTAAGAAAAAGGCACACGCAAAAATATTATCATTGTTGTCTGTTTTGGGGTCACACTGAGCAATGTTGAGGGGTTACTCCTGGCTCTGCACACAGGAATTACTCTTGAAGGTGCCCCGGTGGACCATGTGGGATGCTGGGACCGAACCTGGGTTGGTCTCATGCAAGGCAAGAAGCACCGTACCTACTGCAGTTTTAGGGATGACAAAAAGGCAGTTCAAGAGCCTTCATTGAGCGTCCTTGGGCTCTGGATGAGGGTGGGGGAGCCTGATTCCGCAGTGCTAGGGAGTCTACTTCCAGGATCACTTTGACCCCAGAGTGCTTTGACTCCAGAAAGATGAAATGCTGATGTGTGACCTCTGACCCCTCAGATGTGGAGCGTTACTCAGACAAGTACCAGATGTCTGGGCCGATTGACAATGCCATCGACTGGAACCCTGGTAGGTGGTGGCCCTGCCACAGACTGCCCTGTCTTAGTTGTTTGAGAAGCCTCCAGGCCACAGCACCCCCTCCTGTCTCCTGAGTCTCAGATGTGCTCTCAGACTCTACTTGAAACCCTGTTATTTAATGGTTAGCTCCTGCTCCCCCTAAACAGCCGAGCCACAGTTTTGTTCTAAGCAGTTCTGACCCAGCACCTTCCTTCCTTCCCTGCCCTCTCCCAAAGGAGACTGGCTTAAAAGCCAGTCCTCATTCCCCGGAGGCTCCTAGACATCATCGAACTGACATTTATATTTTCACTGTCCCCAGACTGGAGACGTCTACCCCGGGAACTGAAAATCCGTGTGCGGAAGTTACAGAAGGAGCGTGAGTGTCCCTGGGAAAACGAGGGAACTGGTGAAGGCACCGCCACTTCCTGCCCTATCCCCGTGGGACATGGCTCATGTCATCATGACCACAGGAGGGCAGCAGAGTGCCGCGGTCTCTGCAGGGGTGCTGGGAACAAACCTCACTACTAGAAAGTTCCTTCTCTTTGTTTGCCTCATCAGGAACCACCATCCTCCTCCCCAAGAGACCCACTAAGAGCACAGAAGATAAGGAGGAAACAATCCAGAAATTGGAGGTACGGAGGAAGAGAGCCCAACACCACCCTGACCCCCGTGGACCCTTTTGGCCCTTTTAGCCCTGTGAGTTGAATGGAGTTTCTCTTCCTGTTTACCTTCACATAAGACCCTGGAGAAGAAGGAAGAAGAAGTAACTTCAGAGGAAGAGGAGGAGAAAGAAGAAGAAGAAGAGAAGGAGGAGGAAGAGGAAGAGGAGTATGACGAAGAGGAGCATGAGGAGGTGATGGGGGCCCCACCCTTCGCCATTTCCCCTCTTTGTCAATCCCTGGCTCTCAGCTCTCCCCACAGGCTGGCTTCTCCAGAAGCCCGCAGGGTCATGGCGACATGCCCCAGAAAAAGGACTTCCCTCCCTTTCGCCTGTGCCTGGGCTCTTCCAGTCTCACTAGAGCTGCCATGTTTCCAGATCTGGAAAGGCGTGCACCAGGGGAACGGCCTGGCACACAGGAAGGAGGAAGAAGGTGGAGGTACACCTGAACTGAAGTCATTGGGCCTCCCACGGGCTGCACAGGAGCCCCTGGGGCCCCTCCTGGCAGTTCTCGGCCCACAGGGCTAGCAGGTCAATGTAAGGACCCAAGATTTGGGTGCTGTGAAGACCCTGCCTTGCTGAGGAAATGAACCGGGCCACTAATGGGGGCCTCCAGGGCCACATTATATGGAGTCAGGGATAGAGCCAGGTTGCCCATTTGCAGGACAGGCAGTATAACCCCTGTTCGATCTCTCTAGCCACACCCCACCCCAGGGCCTGATTTTAAATGTTTTTTTTTCTTTTTTTCTGTTTCAGGAAACTGATTACATCATGTCCTATTTTGACAACGGAGAGGACTTTGGGGGTGACAGTGATGACAATATGGATGAAGCCATCTACTGAAGAGGACCCTGATCAGTACCTCACACTTCATGTCTTTTTTGAGTCAGGTTACAGAGAGGCACTTGGCTTTGTGGACTAGCAGATCATTTGCTCACTGTCCATCTAACCTAATAGGAGGACAGACAGCTCTCTCCTGCCAGTCCCCTCTTTCTACCCCTTTATCACTCTGATATCTTGGGGAAACGGCAAAGGACCCATGTCTTCATTGTATGAAAAGGAAAAAGAAGGGTTTTAATGGACTAGAGTGATAGTACAGAGGAAAAGGCATTTGCCTCGCCTGCAGCTGACCTGGGTTGGATCCCTTGCATCCCATATGGTCCCCTGAACACCACCAGGAGTGATTCCTGAGTGCAGAGCCAGGAGTAACCCTTGAGCAGCACGGGATGTGACCCAAAAAGCAAAGAAGAAGAAGAAGAAGAGTTTTAAAGAAGAATAGGTGTTGTTAGGGCTGAGAAAGCACTGCATATGGCCCCCCGACTCATTTTTTAACAGTTTGATGTGGAGTTCAGTGTGAGTGCGAGCAGGTCAGTTTCATATTTTTAAATAAAAGGTGTTTTTTTAATCTGTTTCCTCTCTCAGCAAGGAATCAATGGGAGAGTGCTGAGAAGTGAAGGAGCTGACTAATTGAACCAGGGCCCTGCCCTAAGAGAGGCCAGGTGGATGTGGGGGGGTCCCACCTTCCTGTCCCACACCTCTCCTCCCTCCCCCAGGCAAGCACACACTCCTAATGGCGCCCTGCCAAGGAGCGCACAGGAGTGATCACACCATGCATGGTGAGTGGTAAAGAGCAGCTCAGACTCTGAAGTTCAGCTGGCCTGCGAGGGCAAGTCCGCCGGCCACAGGAACACGCTTGTCTTTGTTCACATATGTCCGCTGAAACACAGGCCTTTCCTTTCTCACACTTGACCTTGATCTCATGTTTGTCCTTGTTTACAAGGAATGACCAGGCAGCTATTTCTGTGGGGATCCTGGGGAAAGCCAGGTGCTGGGAAGGGAGAAGGTGCTGACTGTTATGAAGCCTGGGCACCACCTCTGGGCACCCAGAGCCCCTGGGTTGATGGGAATTCTATCTGGAGGGAGTTCCCCAGAGGCCCTGCCCCACTTCCAGAAGCTGCAGTGCAGCCAAGTTGCAGTTTCTCTTTTGGGTTCCTTTCTGTCGGATTTAGTTAGCCTTTCTCACTCCCTTCTGGGAGGCTGGCGCTGGTGGGGCTGATTTACAGGAAGTGGGGAGGGTGAGGAGAAAAGGAGTGACTTAGGGACACTCACAGCTCAGAGAACTGCCTTCTCGCCCCCACAGCACTCACTGGGTGAGGTCACTTGCCTGGGACCTGATTGGCTTCTGAGGAAGCCCTTGAGGAGCTGATTGGTTCCAGCCACTTGACATGCAACCAGGCCGGCAGTGACCAGAATAGGAACTAAAGAAGGAGCTGAGAAGGAGGCAGCCACAGATAGTGAAGGTGCTGTCATAGCGACCCTGCCAAACACTCAGAAGCTGCAAAAACAAGATATAGGAGAATCTTCAAGAAATTCCCCCACCATATTCAGGCAGGAAGACTGCATTTCCTTTTGTATCAGCTGATAGAAACTAGCCATGGGATGTTAGATACTGTCCTTTGTAAACACTTAGGGTCTGGGATTTATCAGAGGGAAGTCACCTTAAAAGCATAGTTTTTGGGCTGGGGAGATGGCTCAAAGGACTGAGCCCAGCTTTGCATTCGGAAGCCCTAGTTTGACACCACCACCACCACCACACAGAGCACCTCATGTCACCTGAGCACTGACAGGAACAACCTCTGAATACCAAGCCAGGAGAACACCAAACACAAACAGCAGCAACAAAGGCCTGGTTTGTGGAGGCCTGGGGTGTGGCTCAGCAGGAGACCACTTGTCTGGGGGGGGGGGGGGGGCAGTGTTGGAAGACCCTGGCTCAAATCCTCAAAAGGTTTAAAGAAAGAAAAAAGAGCCTGGTTTGTGGCAGTATGTTCAGAGAGACAAAGAACAGAGAAGTAACAGGAACAGAGACGGAACATTCCAGAGTCATTGAGCAATTTGTGATCATTGATGTGCTTCCTTGTCTTACTCTTGAGTTTTCTGTGAGGAATGGGGGGAGGGCCTGAGAACCTGTCGCTGTGATTTCCTGGGGCCACACTCTCACCTAATTGCAGCAGGGAGAAGTCTATGAGAAGACAGGAAAGGGACCAGAGATTGCACAGAGGGGGCGGCATTGCTGTGCATGTGGCCGATCCTGGTTATGTCCCTAGTACCACATGATCCTTGAGCCCCACTGGGAATAGCTGGGAGTAGCCCCAGAGCACTGCTAGGTATGGCCTCAAAAACAAAAGCAAAGGCCTTAAAAAAAAATGTCATTTTACCTTTCACCGATAGGCATGACCAGTCCTATTCTGGTCAGCTATCATAGACACTAAGTTAGGGGTACAACTAAACCTACAATTATTAACTTCTTTTTATAAAGCCAAGGATCAGTGCCAGGGCCTCACACATGCAAGGTATGTGTTCTCTGCCACTGAGCTCCATCTCAAACCCACCACCAAACTCAACTCCCCCTTACTGCCCACCTCCCAGGAAGCTTCTGGACAAGAGGAGGTATTGTCCCCACTTCTGTACCTTCTCAACCCTTTTCCCATGAAACGGGGAAAGGAGGGCAAAGGTCATAGTGACCACTGGGGATCAGCTGTCCTGCTCAAAGTCAAGTATCGGAAAACTCAGGCCATTCTTGAACTCTTTCCTGTCTGGCCTGCTGCCGCACCTGGCAGATGACCTTGCTGAGCAAGCCAGAGACATGGGACCTAGCAGCTTCCCACATTCCAAGCATTTCCAGGCAAGAGCTCAATTGTTTCTATGACCTCTCCCCTACTCTGTTCTTTCGGGCAGTTTCAGCTGGGGCCTCAGAGGTCTCCACAGAGCCAGAGCTATTCTGGAAGACTACCTGAGCTGTCTGAAGTTGAGGCCCTGCTCACAAATATGAGCGGTCACCCGAGGAGCATGCTAGGACCTGCTTCTGTCCAGCAGGTTGCTCAAACCACCACAGTCTGCACCACGCTGCCCCAGGCAGTGCAGGCTCTTTGGCAAAAATTAGTCCTTCCCTATGTCCAACCCTCTGGGTCTCTCCTACCTTGGGCAGTTGCTTGAGAGTGGGGTCTGCAAACATAAACATGGACTGAGGTGGTTGTGGCTGAAAGGCAGACTTGGTAAACAATGAACTTTAGGGGTCCAGAAGTGGGGTTCAGAGCCGATCAGAGGGTTAAACATCAAGCAGATGGGGTACCCATGGCTTGGTGAGGAGATACAAATATATTTCTCACCAAATTTGTTTTTGCTATTTGAACTTTGAAAGAAGAAAAAACTTTGGAACTGGAGAGATGGAACAGTGGGTAGGGCGCTTTCCCCATATTTGGCTGACACGGGTTTGATCCCAGACATCTCATATGGTCCCCTGAACACTCTCAGGCGTAATTCATGAGTTCAGAGCCAGGAATAAGCCTGAGTGTTACCAGATGTGGCGAGGAAGTGTGGGAAGGAGGAGGAGGACAGGTAAGAGGAGGAGATGTTGAGGAGAAGAAGGAAGGAAGGAAGGAAGGAAGGAAGGAAGGAAGGAAGGAAGGAAGGAAGGAAGGAAGGAAGAGAGGGAGGGAGGGAGGGAGGGAGGGAGGGAGGGAGGGAGGGAGGGAGGGAGGGAAGGAAGAAAGGAAGGAAGGAAGGAAGGAAGGAAGGAAGGAAGGAAGGAAGGGAGGAAGGGAGGAAGGAAGGAAGGAAGGAAGTGTGGGAAGCTGGCCCTTTAACTGACCAAGGCCTAAGTGCCTGTGCTCCGTGACCTGCAACAGGCACAGCCTGTGCCACGTGACTTGCAACAGGCAAGGCCAGTGCTAGGTATGGTTACCTTGAGGTATGGTGATAACAAGAAGTAACTATCTCTTGCCTAGTATGTGATGCCTATAAATCATACGGACATGGCCCTTTGTGTAACAAACCTCCCTAACCATATATGGGCACGACCTTCTGTGTAGCTGCCTCGCTAATGAATATATACCCTGATTGCCCCCAATAAAGTCTGTCCCTTTTTCTCTCTGTTTCTGAGCTGTCTCTTGTGTCTCGAGTTCATTCGGTTGGTCCTTCCCAGCACCTACGGATCCTAGGGCCACCTCCGCGGGCCGGAGAGTGGTCTGGCGGGGCCCCCTGCAAGGAAGGAAGGAAGGAAGGAAGGAAGGAAGGAAGGAAGGAAGGAAGGAAGGAAGGAAGGAAGGAGGAGAAGTAACTTGTAGGCATAGACTGATTAGGAACTTATCATGGGGCTGGAGAGATAATAGAGTGGTTAAGCACTTGCCTCAATTTGACCATCCTGGGCTCAATCCCTGGTAACACATATGGTCTCCAAGTCCCACCAGAAGTATCTCTGAGAACAGAGCCAGGAGTCAGTCCTTAGCACCACTGGGTGTGGCTCTCAAATCCCAGAAAAACAAAAAGAAAGCCAAGTTTCATCTCCACTCGGTACTGCACTGGTTTATGGACCTGATTTCACCACTTGCTTGTTTTGTGTCCTTGAGAAAGTCAGATCAAGTTTCTAAGCTTTAATTTCCTCATGTGTGAAACAGAAGTTGGATGGAGCCCTTCCCCAGGAACTCTCCCAGCTGATGTTGATTTGCCCGCAAGAGTCCAAATGGTTCCGAGTACAAAGATCAGCATGGACCCAACTTCTCTGAGCACGTTCGTTCTGCTGGATTTCTCCACTTCATTTTCAGCTTTGCCAAGCTAAAGTGTCCTTAGGCGTCTAGCCAGGCCTTTCCAAGAACTTGCCAGAGCCCACAGAGGAGGACTCCATCCAGAAGCAAGGAAGGAGATAATGCCAAGCAGCAGAGTTCAAGGTCACAAGCTGCCCGCTAAGAAATTTCTGACTGAACGAGATGCCCAGGGGGCAAGTCCTCTCATCTCCTCTCGTGTGTCGCGTCTGGCTGGAGGACAAGAGGAAATGAATGGATAGTAATAAGTCACTCTGCGAATCTGGCCAGACACTGGTGACCCCTTCTCCACTGACCTTTCCCCCACTGAAGCTTCCCTACCTTTCCCCCAGATTTACTCAGGCCAGAAAACTGGAATTAGGAGGTTTTAGTTTCTTGAAAGAGCTTGGCCTTACCCCCAACAGGGCATCACTTGCTGCTCCTAGCCTGCAGGGAAAGGTGATGCCCCCCTGCAGCCTCAGTGGGAGTGACTGGGGAGATGAGGATCCAGTTCAAACTTCAGGGTCTGCGGGACTGAGTGCTCTCACCCTGGGGAACCAGGACTTTGGGAAGAAACCCAGAGAGCAATTATGGAACTGTGAGCCGGAGCTGCTCCCTATGCTCAGCACCCCACTGTTGTCTCCTGGGTTGTTCTTTCCAAACCTTGCATCCCTGCCTCTCCCTAGAACCTCCTCAGCCTGTGATCTCATCAATCCTGATAGGCAATGGGGGAAACGTCCAAATCCTGCCCAGTTTTCCTGGTTACTCAGGGCAGGGCCGGTGGTCCTAGAATGGGAGGGATGTTAATTAGATTTGTCTTCACTGTACCCAGAGGAGTGTGAGTAAGGGAAAGTGTTGGGAACATGGAGTTTGGGGACTTTCCTACCATGG